TTTCTACGATAGAGACTCCACCAGTAAAGTCTCTCTCGTGTATGCATAGTTTTAACCGCGGCTCTTCTTGCTCGAGTTTCGGCACCAGGCGTCTTGTGACCCACTTCGAATCCCTGCCGTTGTAGGAAATGAAGGCGTGGTAAATTTTTCGCTTACCGAGGGGGGCTTTGGGACGACCTTTCGCCTTTGACCTGAGTAAGTACCAGCCGTACTCGATGTAGTATCTGTTACGGTACATCACAAAAATGGCCATCATGTAAACGAGGATGAAAACGCTGGAGAGAATGGCGGCGTAGTATCGCAGCTGGCTGTGGCACTTTTCTGCTTCCAGGTCATAGTTCAGAATGGTGATCCGGCGGTCTGATCTTGGGTAGGCGCAGAAGTAGTTGGCGAGGTTGTGGAACACAACTTGGGTTTGGTTTTCACTGACCCATTTGATCAGCCACTCAAGGTTACAGGCACAGTTGAGAGTGTTGTACTCCAGGTTTAAGTCCTGTAGGTTCTTCAGCGAGCCCAGTCCTTTCTCGGTAACCATTTGAAGCAGGTTTAGCTGTAGGAAGAGTTTACGGAGGTTTCTCCATTGCTTGTATACTGCAATGGGTATAACACTAAGTCTGTTCTGAGACAGGTCGAGTGACTCCAAATGTGACAAGTTCTTGAAAGGAGCGGGGCTCATATTGTGGAACTCGTTGTGTCGAAGGTTTAGGGTCTTCAAACTGGTCAGGTTTTCAAATGGATTGCTTGTTTCTTCAGAATAGAGCATCATCCTTAAGTTGTTGTGTTGAAGATCAAGCTTCTTCAAGTTGACAAGTCCCTTGAAGTAGTCCTTAGGGAATGAGTTGATGCCATGGATTTTGTAACACTGATAAGACTGGCCTCCTAGGTTGAGAGATACAAGGTTTGACAAGGAAGTAAATGGAGGAAGGAGGGGTTGAGATGCTTTAAGACACAACCGATTCTTGTTCAACTCCAAGACTCTCAGAGAAGGTAGACCATAAAATGTCTCGCTGTGGATTTTTGTGATGAAATTGTCGTTTACGGTAAGAAAAGTCAGGTTGTGAAGACCAGCAAAGCCGTATGGTGGCAGGGAGTTGAGTCTGTTATTGCTCAGCTTCAAATGCTTCAGAAGAGGAAAACCATGAAAAGAGTTTGGAGAGATTTTGTTGATGGAACCGTATTGTAAAATTAAGACTCGCAAGGTTGACCGAACACTCCTTAGGGCCGTTGTTGGCACTTTGTTTAGGTCATGCCACTTCACGATCAGTTTTTCCAGATACAGGAGCCCAGCCAAACTGTTCTTCGCAAATTCTCGTATCGCGAATTCCTCTGGTGGTCCTGATATATACAGCGTTCTCAGATACGGCATGTCCGAGAAAACACCTCTCTCTATAACAGACCTACGAGCTTCCAGAGTTACATACAGGCTAGTCAGATTACCTAGTGTAGAGAAGGACCCGTTTACGATGGTTGGCAGCTCATTTCCTGACATATTTAAAGTCTTCAGATTTCCTAGTCCCGTGAACTCATCTCCCTTCAGTGAGGTTATGTTATTGTTATGCATCAGGAGAGTCTCAAGTTTTGGTAGGTACCGGAACATTCCATTACTCTGCAACTTCTGTATCTTGTTGTTGGACAAGTCTAGCATTATTACAGGAATGTCTGCCAAAGGTTTAAAAGTATCTCTAGAGAGACTATCTAGAGAGCAACTTCCTAGGGATAAGCTAAGCCCAGGGGTGTTAATCTTTCCTAAGTTCTTGAAAGTAGTGTTAAGCTGTCTAACTGTCAACTTGTTCCCAGTCAATAGTATGTTGGTTATATTTTGAAACGGCCAAAACGCTGGCTCTCCGATGATAGCAATCCTGTTAAAAGACAGGTCTAAAGTTTCGAGTGGCGATCCTGCCAAAGAGGCGAATGAGTCTCTACTTAGTTGGGAAATCAAATTCTTTCTTAAATCTAGGTGCCTGAGTGCCATAAGATTTCGGAAGGCCTTTCCGAGTTTGCAGACTTTGATGCTGCTGTTTGCGAAGGAAAGGGACCGTAGGTTCTTCAAGTTGGCCGTGAGGAAATCAGGGTTGCTTAGGTCGGAGACTCTTGTCCCGGCCAATCCCAGTACTTCTAGGTTCTGAAGATCGGCGAAGGCTCCGTTTTGTATAGTCTGGAGAAGGGTGTTGTTGAGATAGAGGATCTTGAGGTGGTTGATGTTGTAGAAGGTGTGGTTCTGGATGGAGTAGAGGTTGTTCCAACTCAGGTCCAGATACTCCAACACAGGGAGGGGTGGAAACGTGTGGGGACCTGAAAGAGGAGAAATCTTTTAGTATTACAGAAAGGATAGGGTGTAAAGGAGCATGATTTTCAAGCGTAAACATTTTATTCCCTTTGAATCACATGATGACAATAAGGCTAAGCATCAATAACCATGACTTTAACAAACAATGCCATAGTTGTTACTTTTGTTACTTCTGTATGTTGTCATATCAATAAACACAAGTCTGTATCTTGATAAAGGGAACAAATATATACAATATCAATAGTAAACATTTTCGTGCAGAACCCAACTCAATATCATTTTTCACATATAATCCTGAAGATCGGTCCTCAAAATGTGTATTTGGAAGAGCAGAAAAGGGGAAGTTGCAGTGTATGTTTATGTAATGAAACTTTAGCATAAGGAACTAGAGTTCCCCGATCTCATACCTTCGCCAAATGATGTTAATTAATCTTTATGACTGACAAATTATAGATTAGATTATTCCCCCAATTTAAGAAATAGGAACCTAATTTTCATGAATTATATCATTTTATCATAAACTCAACCAAAAAACAGTCTTATATTAACAAACAATGCATTCTAGCATTTCCTAATAAATTATGCAAATGAGGTCCTGATTTGAATAAATTATGTTTAATAATGTTCACCTCAATTTAACTTTCAAATACATTTGTACCACAAGTATGAAATTCCAGGCAGTTATCATTACATAATTATAAAATTTTCTCATTAATTATGCAAATTAGGTCATTATTAACATAATCAATATCTTCCTGTGTTTCTCTCGTTGTCAATTACCAATGTCACAAGCTTTAATTGTCCTATCATGGAATGCAGCTGATTCATAGAATTTCCCCATAAATTATGCAAATTATATCCATACTTGCATAATTGTCACATAATTACATGAAGCATCACGTAAGCTACCTACATACCAAAAATCACGACGATCCGTCAACCGGTTCTTGTGTTATCCCCTTTTGAATATTTTCAAGAATATATCACTGCAGTTCCAGAGCAAGCCGCTAGGGGGCCTAAACTCACATCACTTCTTCCCCAGCACAAGAGCTACCTACCATCTAAATTTCATCACCATAGCATGTCTAGATCATGAGATATCAAAACCGGAAGTTCAGCTGCAGTACCATAACAAGCCGCTAGGGGGTCCAAAATCTAATCATTTTGAGGTCTCATCAAGACCTACCCACCTACCAAGTATCAAGACAATCCATCAAGGCCTTCTCAAGTTATCGTGTTGACACACACACACACACACACACACATACACGAACGCCCCTGAAAACATAACCTTCTTGGCGAAGGTAATAACACACCTCCATTGCAGTAAGTTAGATAGTAAGAATATACAACATAAACTATGTAACTCACGACAATTACTGTACAATGTGTATAGCCTACTTATGTTACATGTAGCTCTGTACTTACCAATAGTCTGGAAGTTATTCCGACTGAGATGTAAGAACCTGGTTGTTTTGGGTGTTCCTCGAGGTACACTACTCAGCCCACTCCTGCTGCAGTACACGGAGGTGTTCCTCTGTCGGACACAGTGTTTCAGGAACTCTTTGGGGAAGGTCTTTACCACTTCCCTACCAGTTGCTAAGAAGGTGCCTTTGCCTGGATTGTCCTCATGATAAGAAACTGTTTCTTGTAGGAGAGCTGTTGCTGCAAGAAGTCCTAACAAGTAATACATCATGATTGTGAAAAATGGTCTGTAAAGCAGCTATGCAAATGTAGGTGGCCCGTACTGAAGGTTGTCGGGTTTTACTGTCACACACACACACCTGTTTTTGTGACAGTAGAGGGAAGTTCCTGCTTTGTAAGCTGACCAGGCCACATTTAACAGAAGTGATGTAAGCTCTGTTTGCAAAAGAAGAGGAAGTACTGGGTATATTTCTGTTTGTGCGTATTCAGGTGTAAATTCAGGTGCCTTTATTCTGCTGATTCAGTCTGTCATAGCAAGTTTTATTGAATTCTACTTGTGGTTTTTATTGATTTGACATTTTTAGGAACTAAAGGGGCTTGTTTTATGTTCTATATTAAGCCTTATGCTATGTGGAGGAAGTGATTTTTGGGAAAGATGTGCAATCACATCTAGGAATTTTGAAAATTGAAGACCTTTCACTTTTTGCTTTACCCCCAGTGGGACAAAGAGTTGTCTTGGTCTATGTGCCTGTCAGTCTGTGTATCTGTGTATGCATGAAGTGGGGTGAAGTCTGCTACTAGTCAGGCCTCAAACTTTTCTTCCTATTGTCCCAGCACTGTCCCTAAAATAAATTTCAATTGTCCTGAAGTCAAGCTGAGCTGTCCCAACCTGTATTTGTGGAAGTAATTATATGACTTCAACTTGAAGTCAACTTTATTTTGCTTCTATTGACTCCCAGGCACACTATAATTGCAGAGTAGACAGGAAATTCGGGGGGACTTTTCCAGATCCAAAAGCCGGGATGTGTGCCTGATAAACAAAAGAAGGGCTGACATTCTGATGTTGATCATTTTTCTATTGTCCCAATTTGACTCAAAAAAATGTCCCAAAGTGTCTTTTTAGTTGTAATTTTTAGTTGTTTTAGTTGTCCCAGCCTATATTTTAAGTGGTCAGTGGCCATTGGACCACCTTTAATTTCGAGCCCTGCTAGTATGTCTGATTTTTGTGTCTCACCCTGTACTACAGGTCTCCATGCAGACATTGACATTGATGCTGACCTTGATGACATCCATGATGACGACATGGACGATGATGATGATGACGATGATGAGGAAGAGTTTCATCACCGTGACGATGATGATCTCCCCAGGAAAGATGATCCAGGTGAGATTATCTCTTGAGGATATAAATACTATTCCTTGATCTCTATGGAGGCCTTAATCTTGGCAAACAGGTCTTATTTATAGCTTTGTAGTCTAAGGTATTGATGTATGGTTGATACTGAGAAACTGCATGTTTTAGTACCAAGTGTCAACAGATTAGCACTGATCACTACTGCCACCTAGCAGAACTGGAACAAACTGCAGCATGCAGACTCGAGGCACACAAGAAGCTCTCTGACACAATGGCATGAGAATTACATGTACTCCTTCACTATGCTGCTTATGTTATAGCCATAGAACCTTTTATTCTGGCAGTAGTCAGTATAAAAGTCAGTATCTGACCTCTTTTCATGTTGACTAATGCCCTTTGTTTCAAATGTAATTTGCAGGGAGGAAGGTTCGTTTTGCAGATGATGATGAGGGAGATGAGAAGATTCCCCCAGGTATCACCCCGCTCCAGTACAAGATGTTGAAGATGGCTGGACAACAGATTCCCAAGAAGGTAAATTTGACAGAGAAAATGTTGTTCTCTTTGTCCCCAGATGCATTTCTAGAGATAGATAATAGAAATTTGAACCAATTAATCCATTTGAAGGGTAATGTTTTTATTTATTGTTAGGCCACACCTTTTTTTTGCAAATCAGAAAAAAATGGACAGGGCGAATCTGAGAAACAACAAACTAAATTGGTGTGGCCTTACCTAGGCTTTTGTGGTATACTATCGATATGATCCTCATGGAGTGGCACTAGTGCTGATTGGTTCTTTATACAGCTGCCTTCAGGCTGATACCTGACACAAACCACTAAAGTCTGTTTATATGACCATTCTAAAGTCCTGTGTACATGTATTTGTCTCATTGCTGACAGGGAGAAAAGCGGGAGGAGAATTCAGATGATTCAGATGAGGAGGAGGCTGAAGGTCCTCAGCCGGAGCCAAAACAAGGCCCGCAGCTGCCGACATCTGGGCCACCTGGAGCCCCACCTGGAGCCCCACCTGGAGCCCCGCCCGGCCCCCCGACTGGCCCCCCACCTGGTCCGCAGCAGACCCCTCCAGGTGCACCCCCTGGGCCACCACAAGGACCCCCTCCAGGACCACCTCCTGGATTCCAAGGACCAAATCTTCCCCCAGGCCTCAGACCCCCTCCTCTGCGAGGACCTCCACCAGGACCCCCTAGAATGCCCCCTCCGGGGCCCCACCAGGACGCCCCCCTGGTGCTCCCCCTGGCCCCCCTCCAGGTGCACCACCCCTCCTTCGAGGACCCCCTCCCAGATTACTCCCTCCCGGTCCCCCTGGTGTACCTCCTCCACGAGGCATGCTGCCCCGGATGCCCCCTCCCGGCGCTCCCCCTGGCATGCCCCCTCCTCCTGGCGTCCTACCCCCCAGCAATCCCAGCGTGCTTAGCGCCCCTCCCAGCCTCATCAGCCGACCAATGAACAAAGAGGACTCTGCCACGATCGAGAAGAAGCCGACGGCCACCATCACGGCTAAGCCGCAGATTCGAAACCCGACGGCAGACGTCACGAAGCTCGTGCCTGTGTCGGTACGCATTAAACGTGATAACAAAGGAAAGAAGCCAAAAGACGCCAACAGTACCAGTCAAGCGAGCGGACGGGCGATCAACCGTCCCCAGTACCGCCGTCAGGACCGGGGTCTGGGAAGAACCTACGGACGAGGCCTTATGAGAAGTTCATGAGGGAGATGGAGGGGATCTTGTAGAACAGACCTGTGTTCAGTACTTCAGGTGAGGATCTTATTCAAGAGAAATCCAACAAACAATCTCACAAACGACTGGCAGCTTGTTTTGAAACCTTATTATTACATTTAACCATAATCGCAGTGTTCTAGCCAGACCATAGGGGCCCCTTATGCTATGATTTTGACCTCCTATGCTGTCTTCAACCAGCATAGGGGTATTTTGGGAGAGAGAACCTTCAGAAAT